AAGCCCGATCACACTGACACGATACGAGAAAATATTCTATCAATATAATTGAATACGGTAATTCATACCGATCCGGCAAGCTCCGTAACAACACGACACGACAAAACATTCAAGCAAAGAATGTTTTGTTGGTCTGTCAGTGCCTGTCGGAATCTTTTTTTTTTTTTTTTTTAATGTACATATTATTATGTACTCAAGTACTTAAATTAATTTATAAATTACATTTGTAAACAAAAATGTTTTCATTGATTACAACAAGCCTTGTTATTTTAGAGATAATACATAGATACAGTCTTTATATTATATTTGACGATAAAATGTATTATGTATATATATTATTATCGAGCAAAAATGCCATTACAGTTAAATCTTCAAACTTAAAATTTTTAAACATATTTCTGGATGTTTTCTGGAAACAATTTCTGAATGTTGGAAACGAAAATTGGAGTCAATTGAATGTATTTCTGTCGTTTCTTTTTGTATGTGAATTGGACGTGATTTTGGCTGCTTACGAACTGAGTCCCAGTATAACCTTTTATGACGAATTGAGTCCCGGGTTGTTTTAGGGTATAAACCAATTGAGTCCAGTGACATTATAGGTATAATACTAATTGAGTCCATGTTTTAATACTAACTGAGTCCCGTAAAATTAAAAAAAAACATTTTCCTTCCCATTTTTACAGACTTAGGACTGTCTGTAACAAAAAATTCTACAGGTATGGTTAAAAATGTTTTTTTTTTTAATATTTTATAAAATAAATATATAATTTTTATTATTATTCATAATTTTCGCTGTGCCTGGACTCTGGATGGTTATTTCATATTTTACTCAAAATAATCCTCGGACTCAATTCGTATACAATTAGTTTCCTAACCACGGACTCAATTAGTATATGTCTCGTTTGTACCCGGGACTCAATTAGTATATTATTTTTTCCCCGTTCAGGTATAGGGACTCAATTAGTATACAGTGGTGATTTTCGTCTGTTATGTCGTGTCGTGCGAGTGTGAATCGGACTTAATAATGTTTTAAGTTTTAGTGTTTAGACATTCATTAAGTTCAGTTCCAATTTGAATTTCTAATCAACAATATGATTATTTTATTCATAGTAATGAATGTTTCCAATGTTTTTGAAACCAGACGTGGGAAAAAGTGCATCGTGATTAGCAATAAATTTAGTTAATTTAGAAAAAACAAAGATACACCTTAATTTTTATATTGCACAAATCAATAACTGTCAATAAATTGCGTCCAAATTGTTATTAATATGTACCCTAATGTGTTAATTTTCTAGGTGTATAGTGTAACCAAAAGGTGTATTAATTTGTAACTAAACGTATTGCATTTAAGGTCTACTGTAGCCAAACGTGTTACAACCCTCCAAAATTGATTGGAATAATTAAGAATTATTAATGAACGATCTAATTTGAACTCTGAAAAGATTTGCTTAAAGTGTAGTTGATTTTAGGCTGGGACTAGGGGGCCCTCCAAATGTATGTAAGCCTTGGGGCTCGTGTGCGCGGCACACTCTGCATACCCGGTTTTGCGGCACTGGTAGTTATAAGACTCCAAATGTATTTTGGTCCACATTCATACGACCATATTTATTTTATTGAAATCATTTTTTTCCAAATGAATTTTCATATGCATATTTACCTTAAATAAATTTAAAAATAATGCGAATTCCTGTCTAACATTTTTTTAATGGGAGATTGAATTTAAAATTTTACAAAAAAAAAAATCTTCATTGGTTGGTATTACTCAGCGTAGTTTCTTAAATACAATACCAACTTATTATTTATTTCAAAATGATTTTAAAGATAATTCTACAACATACATAATCATTTTGATCAGTGATTTAATTTAAGACATTGAATATGTGTTGACTTGTTTAACAAAATATATCAATTACTTCATCATAATTTATTTCTATATAGTAGTTATATAGCATATTAACATAATAGCATATAAATCTTGGGGCGGCTTCCTGAGCCCTGACACAAACTTCTAACACAATTAATATTAAAGTAAGTGGCGTGGCGATATGGGTAATCGAAAGGCGTTCACCACTCGGTTTTTTGGGGGGTGGGTGGGTATCGACAAAACATACTTGCCTCTGAAAATTTTTGAGTTCGTCACGCCAATCATAGGCGAACCCAGAGTTTTACATTTGAGTGTGCCTTGTCATTTTTTGGTTATTTTTTCAAAATATAAAGGGGAGGCTATAAAAACGTACGTGTAGACCGTGTTATGATTTAAATTCTAAAAATAAAGGCTTCGTTAATGATGTAAAATAACGATTGGTAAAAAATACACGTAATTATTATTGCAGACTTATTCTGAACACTTTCAACATAACTTAAAAAAAACTAAAATTTAATTAATGTGTATGCACATATATTCTCAATTGTAATTATTCAATTTTTTTATTCACCTTATTCACATTAGGTTTTGCCAAGGCACACCCGGCACACTCCGTAGAGCCACCATGACGCCATTAATTATAGTTATCTGTATTAGTAATTATATATTATTATTTGTTTGCGTGTTCTTTAAATTTTATTCAATGATCTAAAGATCCAGATGAATCGTTATGTATTTATAGTGTTTTCTTAAAAGGCCAGAGTGGGGCACTCAAATGTATATAGACCCGGGACCCACGAGAAATCAATGCAAATTCAACCATTTGGTACGTGGGCGTCACTGATTATATTAAAAAAGTAAGTTTTAAATTACTTTCAAAATATAAAAATTGTTAGATACAGGATGTCAACAAAATATTTGAATTGAAATGAGAGAATTGAAATAAATTATCAATACTTATAGCAATTTCTCAAGTAGGTATCTACATTTAATTTAGCGCAATCTTTACATTGGTTTATTAATGAAATGTTAATTTATTCTTCTATAACCCTAGCAATTTTTTTAAATTCTTTATAGGATTCTTTACTTAAGTCTAACATGATCTGATTCAATTAAGACTGTCTTCGTTTCTCTTCGTTTTTTTTTTAATGTGTTAACTGTAAAACATTGAATGTTCAATTTAAAATCAAAAAGGAGGAGGGTATCTCAATATTTTTGGATAAGCTATAATAATTAAACTTTTAATCATCTTAGAAGACAGAATAAATGTACTCATAAATAACAATGCTTAAAAAAATATACTGATTCATTATTTTGTTATACAGTATATTAGTGTGACCTATTGAAGCATAAATTATTCCATATACATTTATTATTAATATGAATTTATTAAAATTAGATTTTCATCTTAAACATTTAATGTAGGTATACTAAATGAGGATTTTTAATTTTCATAATAACTAAATAATATTCATGTATGTAGAATGCCTTATATAAATTAAGTAAATTATAATATAAATTAAGTATGTAATTACTTATTATTTATATAGATTTATAAACTTCAACTATTATATAAAACTTTTAAAAGATCATTTTAGTTTTCAAAAATAAAACTATTGACACTCAAATAAGCAATTTTACAACTTTTCTTAGACCTGTATTACAGATATTTATGAAAGTACATCTTAAATCCATAGATGTAATTGAGATTTTGACAGTGAAACAAATTTAACTGAAAAATAAATTATATAAGATCAAGAATGCTTTAAATGTAATTAAGTACACATCATTTAATAGCAATTTAAATATTATAAATTAATAATCTGAACAATGCAAATTATAAGTTGTGAAGCACTACTATAACAAAAAAAAAAAAAAAAAATATAATTATTTTCAAATATATTTATTTATATGAAAATAAAAATAAAATATGAAAATTATGAAACAAAATAAATAAATCATTCATAATTCCCAAAACATAAAACGTCTTAAAAATAATTATAATACATAAATAATTAAAAATGTGTATACATATTGAAAACAAATACTATTCTTATTTCTCCAGTACCTAAAATTACATCTTTTAATAAATATAATATTTGAACACATCCACATTTTATGAATTCACTGTTGTGATGTCTTTATTAATACGAGACCACTAATTTAAGGAAATTACTATATTTCTTTTTAATATTTGAATACAAGGTATTATTTTCAAATAAAAATATATAATAATTTTGAAACAAAGAATTAACAATCATATCACAAATCAAAATTTATTGAAAGAAAATAATACTTAATTAAAAAAAATAAAATAAAATAAATAATAATTCATGCCATTATAATTATATTAAAATTAACATTAATTATTTAATTTATATTTATTATATTATTAATGTACATAGGATTTTCCATTCACAGGTGAATAATTAAAATAAATTTAACAATTAATATTTGGCATCTTTCTAAATAACTCAATAAGTATAGCAATTTTGTAAATGTTAGGATATAATTTGATATTCAATAGAAACTAATAAAATCTAATTATCTTAACTGATGTTAACTATGACATGTATTAAGAGTATTAAAAATACCATTATATATGTCACTGTTGTTTAAGTATTAAAGTGTGTAAGAGAGGGTTTTTATTACAATTTCTATTAAATTTGTCAATTTGTCTATTATTCTTGACAATTTATAGTAATGTTTAAAAATACTTGCATCTGAATTTAATTAGAAAACATTAAAATTAGCTCATTTATAATTTAAGAATTAATAATCAGTTATAACAAAATTATGTTTGATTCATTGCTAAATGTTATCATGATATTAAACATTATAACTTAAATGATTTAGATTTATATACATGTACAATATGCCATTATTTTAGTTAAAAGAAAAAAGCTATACTAATATTCCCAATCATGTAAATACAATATTTAATATTCATACTTTTTATGAGAAAACATTTCAGTACTTATATGTTATAATTATAATTTTTTATTTGTTGACAATGGCATCAAATGAATTAACAAATTTAATCTTAAACAAATCTTAATAATTTTTATAATATTAAAAAAAAAAATTAAATAAATAATTAAAGGAAAAGAAGATAATTTAAATAAATAAATCATATAATAAAAACTTAATTTTTAACTTAATGTTTGGCTTTGAAGTATATTGTTAAATCAGCTGATGATTTCCAAATGAAATGTTTCACAGTTCTTAAGTCCATTGTAGGAGAAAGCACTTGATCATTGCAACTTAGTTCAAAATTTTTCTCTGGTGTATTTCCTTGTAAGTGATTGCTAATACAGTCTGAAGTCTTATTATATGGACCACTTCCATCGTTTTCAGATAATTTTTCATGGATATATTCGGCAATCTTTTGCACTTGAATAAAATCATTAGCCACTAAGCGATCTCGACTTGGACGAAGAGTGCCACTGTGAAAAAATGAAAAAAAAAGTATTAAGTAAGAAAAAAATTATGTATAATTAATGTTGACATACTTTTTCACAGGTCGAATGCAAGTATTTGATAATGGTACAAGATAAAATGATATCTTAAGTGCTTTAGGTATACTTTTTTCAACAATAACATTCATCACCCAAGCAGGAATAATTTCATTTAAAATTGAAACATCATTTTCATCTCCTGCCTGGCTGACCAACATTCTATATAGACACCGACCACCAACTTCACTAATCATAAGTGGTGTATGTCGTGGAATTTTGCAACACTGAGAATCGAGTTTTGTCTGAGCATTGAGTTCAGTGGATTGGACGGTTTCAGTAGACCCATGATCTGTTTGAATGCGATTAAGCCAATTCTCTAACAGTGAACGCAACATCCGATTACCATAATTCACTAATAAAAACAAATATTATATTTCTATACTAAACATAACATTTAATGAAATATAATAATTAATAATAACCTCTTAAGTTATCGTCTGTAACATTTATTCCAGCTTCCTTAGCAGAAACCCAAGCTGCAAAACAATCGTTTTCATCTTGACCCAAGTGAATTGTTAACATCTAATGGAAATCAATACACATTTTGGAAATTTTATCATTTAATTAAATACTTAAAATGTAATTTAATATAAAATACTGATGAAATTATAAAAAAACATACTCCTGTTTTTAAATCAACACTAAACCAATTTGGTATAAATATTATACGATGTCGTTTTTTTATTTCTTCATCAAAATCAACTTGACCTAAATCTTGAAGTTTGGAAGCCTAAAAAAATAAATTAAATAAATTGTTTAATATTCATATAGTTGAACTTGTTTAATACGAAAAAATAAAATAGAAAAAAAATATTATTAAAAATAAACTTGTAAATGAAAGTAATTTTACTGACTCATTATTTACCTTAAGAACATCATAAACGGCAACATTTTTTTCAGTATCTTGAGTAAGTATAGTTCGTTTATCATTAAGTACATGATATTTTCTAATAGCAGCAGCTCCTTTAAGAGTCCGATATGGTTCCTGATTATATGGTGTAGTTGATAGATCTTCAAAATCAGCTGATTCATCACTTTTTCGTAATTTCTGGAAGTTCGAAATTTTTATTTGTAAATAAATATATAAAATATTAATTAATATAAATACAAATTAATTAAACACTTATTTTTAAGATACCTATGCATTTTTAAACTAGTAACAAAGCTTCTAAAATTTAATAGCACTATTAATTGACTGTTTAAGGGAGATTTAAATTTATTATATATAAATAAAATTAAATTTTAAATATTAACTTACTTACCCAACAATTAATCGAGGACTCGGATGTTGCAACCCAAATAGCACTCATATCTGGAGTTGTAACCATTTTGACAACTGGAGCTGATTCATTACATACAAGTTGAACTTTATTAGGATTTTTTAAATCAGTCATATAAATTTTTTTATCACGACCGCCAGACACAACATGAGAAAAGTTGTCTGTTGCCTGGTCACAAAAATAAAAATAATAAAATCAATGAATATAATTTTTATTTAAAATATTTAATAATTACAGTTAAAGCCCAAACTCCTTCTTTATGTATTCGTAATGTTTGTATGCATTGTTGCTGTCCTAGTGACCATAACTTAATAGTACCATCTGAGCTGCCAGACAAACACTGTGTACCATCTCGATTCACAACTAAAGCTTTAACATTATCTGTATGTCCAATTAGTTTCATCATACAATCACTTGTTCTTGTATCCCATACCCTTAAAACTTTTTCTGTACTTCCACTGATTAAAACTGTTCCACTATTGTTCAATGCTAAGCTATAAATAGAATTTTTGCTACCTGGTAAGGAAGCCGCTAAACATAAAAAGCACACATACAATATTTTTCTTAATTAATACTTAAGGACATACTTGTTACAGTATTATTAGTGGTAGTTAAAGTAGTTAACATATTAACATCCCACATGAATATTGTTTTGTCTAATCCAGCAGAAGCAACCACTTCTTTATCACGAGCGTATGCCAGAGCTCTAACATAATCTTTATGAGTTCGTAATGTTGATAGGCAAGTATTTTCTTTCCGTAATCCCCATAATTTTACAGTAGTATCAGAACTAGCAGAAATTACTATAAATAACAATGTAAAAATTGTATAATGCAAACAAAAAAAAATGTAGTAATAAGAGAAAATATTAAAAAAATTTGATACAAAAGAAATATTCTATTGATATAAATTTATAATTTAATGAATAAATACATGATTATAAATTTATTTACTTACAATAATTTCCACCACAACATAATACAATATCATTAACCCAATCAGTATGATGTTCTAATGAACGCAAATATGTTGCTTCAATATTATCTCGAACATCCCACTGTCGTATAATGCCATCACGTCCAGCAGAATATAATATTCCTTGTTTGGAATCTAACTGTAATGAGTTAACACCAGCCCGATGTCTACGTTCTACTTCATCACGAATTACAAATGATATCTAATATTAGGTAAAAAAATTTAATAGAAACATTACACTGCTTGATAATATATTTAAAACATTGGAAGACCAAAAATACTTAATAAGTAAAACAATAATTACTTGAACTTTTTTTCGCCCAGGTTGTGCGAGACAATTTTTATGTAAAGTACTCATATTATTCTTGGAATTATATGAAATTCTCGTATACCTTATGCATTTTTATTTTTTTTAATTAAAGCTGATCCACTTAGTATAAGATTTCAATAAGTTAACACTCGGACCGACAGATAAAAATAGTATAAAATTTAAAAACCATAATTACAAGATTATTAATCAATTAATGTTATAATACTTATCACAATAAATGTAAATATAAATAAAAGATAAGATAAGTAACACAGTACAATCACGGAATAGATTTAATCTGTTCTGTGATACAATCACGATTAATGATATATATATATATATCTTTAAACGTGAGTACTATCCATAGAATATCATAAAATATTCTGTGATCATATCACTCTATGGTACAATCATGGATAAGAAAAGTGTTTATTTTTCAAATTGAATAATGATAACTATAGTGACCACTTGACATAGAGTTAATCTTAGTATTGATAACACCTATGAGCTATGGTTCTAGATCTCCAATGACTCAGTCCAAATATTTATTATTAAAATAAATTTTCAAATCATTAAATTAATTAATTTATCTTTTAGCATTTATTTACCAAGGTTGATCTAGATCATAGAATTGATATAATCAGTATGAACAAATTCTTCCAGATGATAGAGTTTGAAAGGAATATTTATCATAGGTGCGGAACTAGAAATTAATAAAGGGGGGCTAGTATAGTGGGTTATTGCCATGATTCGTTGCGCATGTCGATTTATACGACGTCTTTCTTACGTCTAATTTTTTAAATATTCTAAGTATCTACATTCGAAAGGTTTCTACCTAATGTCTAAGGGGGGAGTGGGCTTTTGCACCCATACACCACCTTGTATATGCGCCTGTCTGAACTAGATTCTAATATTCTTCTTCCTCAAAATATTTGGGGTCGGCCACCCTTGTCTTAAAAACGGTGTATACTATATTCATCCGAGATTATTATCAGTAAGTAATTTGTATCCCCCCAAAAAAAAGGTCATAACCAATTTGCGCCCAAAAGTACCTTTTGAGACAGCCAAGTTGAGTCCCAGCACGAATAGGTAACATAGCATAAAATAAGTTCCTATTACAAGCAAGGCCGTATCTAGAAATTTTTTTCGGGAGAGGTCCAAAACATGTATATTATAATTTTATTGAATTTAGATTTTAACTTTTGATATTTGATCAAAATAAGACAGACAAAGATTTAATCTTCTTTTATTAAAATTAATATCATATTTTCATATGATATTATGATATAAAATGAAAAGCAGTCAATGATTAATTGGCGCTTAAGTCATTTTTGACTGAAAATATTTATATCGATGTTAAAAATGAATTATTTTAAACATTCGTAAAATATTGAAGAAATTTCGGGGGGGGAGGTCCAGACACCCTGAACCTTCCACCAGATACGGCCTTGATTAATCACATTTAAATAAATAAAATTATACAAACTATTTACAGATTGTGTATAAACATATATATTATTAAAACAGATCAAATTGTCAACTATCAAAAAATAGAAAATAAGATAAATTATAAAACTATTAATTACTTATTTAAAATAATGTTGGCTGAAATTTGAGTAAGACGTTTTTAAAATATATAAAAGCAGAATTTGTTTTTTCTTTGAATTTTTTTATTTCATTATATAAATAGTAAATTTTTTGGTATTTTTTTCCCCTATAATCTTTTTTGGGTGTATTTACGCTGTTCATTAACACATAAGTATTAATTTGAAATGATTTTAAAACATAAATTTATGTATGTTTGGATGGCTTAAATAAAAAGATGAATTTAATTTGGAATGAAATGCTTCACATGCGTTTGTTGTTCATTGTACACAAAACGAATATTATGCCCACATACTTGGAGGAAATTGAGCATTTTCAGATATATAATTGTCTAATATGTAGTCAGTAAATTTTCAACATTTTTCTGGAACGATTGGAATGATTTTATAGACGAATACGTCACAACATTTCTGGAGGTGAAAATGGCAGACCAAAACAAATTCTAAGAAATAAACCTAATTCTGATTTATTTTTATATTCATTTGCCAGTCCAATATTGTGTATTTTTTTTTGTACTTAATTTTCAAGCATTTTCTAGTAACTCAACCTATATTCTTCATTTATATAGAATTCTTTTTTCATGCACAATTTGGAGCTAAACATTTTCTCCATTTTAAATCGATTAAATTAAAATCTAATAATAATTTTAATTCGACACCACGAACACTGAAGAACGGAAAGCGTGAACATGTACTGAGTAATGTACAGTGCAAAATACTTTGTGTTATTCTGATCGGTTATAATATACGATATACCAAATTATCAAATGAGCTCTCTGATCTCTTGATTTCTTAAAGCATTCGGTTTTATAAATATGACTCGGAAAGTGTTTGGTGACAAACGGACATTGTCATGGTACATAATTAATTTTATCTCACTTAAACTCTATAATAGCTGATAATAATTTATCGATAGTCACATATATTAAATACCATATACACAATTTACACATACATGATTATTGTAGCACATAATATTTATGGACGCATCTCGGTCATGACTATTATAGCAGGCAAAAAGAATAATATGGTCGAGTTGCGTCCCCAATACGGGACGCAAGTTACCTGTTGAATTTACTACCTGAAAAATATACCTTTTGGGGTGACGCAAATAGTATGCAGCCCCTAAACCACCACTCGTCTCGATTTTCGACATACCCCTATACACACACCAATGGCCCCCATACTATCACTAGATTCTAATTTTATTTTAATATCAAAAAAAATTGCCAATTATTATTTATTAAAATTTAAACAGTAAAATATACTTACTAATAGTTTTTAAACATAGAAGTAATAAGTTTCGTGCTTAATTAAAAAAATTACCTCTTCAATATTTGTTTATCATTCAAAAACTATTGAAAATAATAAGAGTATATTTCTACTTAAAGGGTACCCTAAATATTGGAATTTTTTTTTTTATTTTATGTATTTTTCAACGCTGAATCAGGGACGTATTTTAGGGAGCGAAGAGGGCGATCATCCCCCCCCTGAGTCAGTATTTGAGTAAGGTTGCCATAAATTTATAAGGCGAAGCCGGGACAAAACAAACATATTATTAAGTAATATACTTTTTATATAACTTTTAATATATTGAGAGGACCAATGGCGTATAAAGGGGGGTGTGGGATTCAGATCCCCCTAGGCTTTTTTTAAATTTTACAAAATAATGTTCTTAATGTGAGTGCGTTAGAAACGAAAAAATAACTAATGATTTATTTGTAAATGATCCCTTGTCCATAAAGAAGTTATGTATACGACACTGAAGAGGACCATTAATGGCCCGCAATCTAATATTTAAAAATATTTTTGTGAAATAAAATATATATTTATATTTGTAAATTACAAATTTAATTTTTTTATATATTGTTAATCGATTACGATTAAAAGTGTACTTTGAGATAAAATGGTCGAAATTAAAAATTAAATAATACTACATTTCCTCTAAATGTCTAAGCCGGGACATATGGACGTTCAGAAAACATTTTTTGGGAGACCGGGACACGAAGTTCAAAACCGGTGACAATCACGGTTTTCCGGGACGTAGTGCAACCGTATATTTAAGGAATCGATTATATGTGAGATACACATTACAAATTGTTTTAATATGGATCATTTTATAACGAAATCAAATGACGCTTGGCTGTGAATACTGAATTGCGTTTTTTTTCGGGTCCATACTTAGTAAAAAATCTAATAAAACACAAGCGTAACTTTCAAAACATAGACAGGTGTTAATTAAAAAAGAACTACACAAAAGTCTATTTTAAGTGGATCCGGCATTAGATAAAAAAAAAGACTTTATATCAATTGCGCCGAAAATCGCAGGTAAAGAAATACAGTAATGATCGGTTGTTCATCGAGTACGGCTTCATCGAGTGTCTTATCTGTTTTTATTATCATTTCAACGTATTTAATTTAAATAATTCGTTTGATTTAATTAGTGCGTGAGTTCTTAATTGAATTGATCAAAATGCTGTGTAATATTTGCTATGATGATACATTCGAAGACAACAATTTAACGTACACTACCTGCAATTCATTCTTGCGTTTTGGGTGTGCGCAATTCAGTAGCAAGGCGAGCTCTTTTAACACAAGGAGCAAAGATTTTATTCTACCCACCCACCAAAAATTTTATAAAAATACAAAAAAAATTTGTTCACTACGCTCACTAACGTTTATAGTATATATTTATTTATTGCATTAAATACAAGAATATATATCACATTAATGTCAATTTACATTATGTTAATTATTTATTTAAATAACAATAATTTTTTTAATACATTTGAAGTTAACGTATATTGATCGATAGCTTCTTCCAGATTTATATCAATGTCTCGTTCACATGAAAGTAAAAGTAAACTCTTTAAACGATTTTGCTGCATAGTGGAGCGTAAACGAGTTATAACAATCTTAACCCTTGAAAATGATCGTTCACTTGAAACAGAAGTCGCCGGAATTGTACATAAATACTTGTAAGCAATATACAAATTAGGAAAAGCCGCATTTAAATTGTATGAGCTAATTAATTTTAAGATTTGTACTGATGTTTTTTTTCAATATTTTGTGTTGATATATTTGAATTATTATCAGAATCACACGCATCTACATTTTCTTCAATAATAACGAACGGTTCTTCACAGGAAAAAAATTTTTGTGATCCATGATGTCAAAAATGTCCACCAGAGTGAATCACGTCTAGTCTAATCCCTATCATCTTATCAGTTATCGTTGATTGTGATTATTTTTTTTTTTTTTGTTCAAGCAATTAATAAATTTTCAATAAAATTGTTCATCAATAATTTTTTATTAACATAATGTCTGTGAATAAAATTTTGTCTTGGGTGCTGTACAGTGTACTGGTATACAGTGTCAGATAGGACATATAGCTTTACTGTCTGATTGTAGGGGTTAATTACGCATGAGCAAATTAATTTACACATTTTTAAATATATGATAGATTTTAATAATTGGAAAAAAGATATTGAAGAAAAAGAATTGTGTCAGTATGTAAAGTTAACATCATCAAAAACAAATTGCTTGTCATTTGCTCCAAGAATCACGAACAAAGTAAATTGAATATTATATTGTATATTTTTTGTATATGTAAAATAAATATTATAAATAATAGCTCAAGTCAATTATAGGTATAGAAAACAATAAGTTAGCAATGTAATTATAAATTAATATATCTTCTATAGCATTAAAATAATATTAAGTAAGTAGTAATATTAAGTAAGTAGTAATATTGTGGGCTCGATATTAATGTTATGGGATTTTAAATGCACAATTAATCCTTTTATAGATCGAAATGATTTTGTGCAATATGAACATAACATATTACTATTCTCACCATATAAATGAGTCTTGGTGTGTTTTATAATATCAGATTTAAAATCAAATGATGCATCACAGTCATTACAATAATATAAATTTTTAATTTTTGGAGTATCTTTATGTTTAGTTCTTAAATGCTTATTTAAACCAGAGACTGATAAATATTTAGCATCACAAACTTGGCAATTATACATGGTTACAATAAAATAATATAAAATTATAAAATATAATAAAAAATAAAAAATTCAAATCATATAATCACAATACTATATTATCATGAATCGTTTTTTTATCAACGATAACTGATAAGATGATAGGGATTAGACGACGTGATTCACTCTGGTGGACATTTTTGACATCATGGATCACAAAAATTTTTTTCCTGCGAAGAACCGTTCGTCAATAATATTGTTTTCATTATCAGAATTAGATAATGTGGTAAGATTCCATAGATAATAGAAGAATGGATAGGCAAATCATATATTAACAATACAAGGAGTCGCGGTCCGGAATGTGGATGAGAGATAGACTGCTTTTATATAATGCACTCACTTTAGCAAGGGGTTTTATCATTAGTTTTATTTCATAATGATAATAGAAGATATCTATGATGATAACAAATATTTTTATTGTTAACGCATTTTATTTTAAAATTATTTAACATTTTTACAAATTGAAGTATTCCCGATTCTGTACGAATTATCATTTGTCTTCAAGCTATGATTCGTACTTGCATTGTTTGTCATGTATCCTCTAAAGATAATACAGGCAACGTATCATTTCATTTATGAGTATTCAGTGGCGGATTTAAGGGGGGGCCCGAAGGGCCTCGGCCCCCCCCCATTGGCATAAGTTAGGTTTTATTATTTTTTATTATTAATTTTTATAATTTTATCTTTTATATTGTTTCGCTCAAACACATTATATTATAATTTAAGAAATATTATCATTACATATATTTTATATTATTATTATATTATCATTATATAAGAAATTCTCCCAAACATATTACTATTACTTTTATTATGCGGGTATAAAGGCATTTCGCCTTAACGCAGACGGCAGACCGGCTATTTTTGCCATGTATCGTTCCTACTGGCCATCGCTATATTATCTTATTTTATTTGTAAGACGATTCTCACTAATCCATTTCTATATTGCTATTATCGTTTGAAAATTTTAGTAATTTTACAGTCGTCGTGTCACTCGTGTGTAATTCGTATTTCGTGCTGTACTCGCCTTTACTGCTGTTATCCGTAGTGTTTTCGTCTGTAGTTTCGTTTTCAATTATTCTGTTTTAAAATGTCACAAAAACGACAAAGTGAAATAAACTTTTTTTTTAAAAAGTTGAAAACAAGTGACGAAAATAGTCCATCTCCAAGTGAAGGTATAGAAAATGTAAGCGTGTTACCAACAGAGTCAGAGCCAGCTACATTTTCTGATTCGTGTGAAGTCGATTCTAACAGTCAATATGATATTGCATTTGCTATTGAAGAAAATGCAAATCTAAAAATTCGAAACGATCCAAATATGCTTTACAAATATTTAAAAGAAACGTGGTCACCTAAACAAAATTATATTTTCCCCGTAAGTATGAATAAAAAAGGTCATAAAAGAAGCTTTTAAATTGAATGGCTAAATAAGCACAACTGGTTAGCTTATAGTCGTAATAGAGAAGGAGCGTTTTGTAAAGTATGTGTACTTTTTGGATCAAAGTTTGGTGGGATTGGAGGACAAAGGCTTGGGGTCTTAAAAGAAATTCCTATGATAAAATACAAAGATGCTTTACACGATCTTAAGATACATATGGAAAGAGAACATCATAAAACAGCAATTGTGCGATCTATAGAATTTATAAAATGTTTTGAAGGCAAACAAAAAACAATAGAAATTCAACTTGATGACCAACTAAATGAAACTGTCAAACAAAATAAAAAGAAGTTAATTCCTATAATTAAAATTATTTTCTGTGGTCGTCATAATATATCTATAAGGGGGCATAGAGACGATGTTAATTTATCAAATCTGATTTAAAATGACCAAGCAAAAAATAATTTTAATATTGAAATATTCAAAGAATTGTTGATGTTCAGAATAGACGCGGGCGATGTAGATCTTCGCAATCACTTAGAATCGGCTCCAAAAAAATGCAACATTTGTTAGTAAAACTATTCAAAATAATTTGATCGATATATGTGGCTTGATTATCACAGACAAATTAATAAAAGAGGTGAATGAATGTAAATTTTTTTCAATTTTATGTGATGAAACTTTTTACTATTTCCATGGCTAAAAATGAACTCAGTATACATAATTTATGATAAAAAGGTTTATTATAAACCTATTGACAATTGTATTGTGGACTGTAGTTTCTGGTTCATGGAAATAACAAATACAGTCGTATAAAGTATAGACTTTAGTATGATGACCGAATTTTATAAACTAATTCTCTACCATGCCCACAAATAATTTTTCTAGAAAAGAATTATTCTTTGATACCATTCGACCATTCGAGTACTTTTGATTTTTGAACCATTATGGCGGTTAATAAATAATTTAATGCTATATATTCGATACCAGTATTTTTTTATCGATACAAGTAAAGTATTGATAGATACAAAAAGTACTTGTATCGAAAGAAATGTATCGATACTTTTTTAATATCAGTAGTATCGCAACATCCATAATCACGAGGGTTCTTCTGTAAATTGTTGTCTTTTCGTGAACACTGATAGTATGTTTATGTTGCTGTGATGTTTCAAACACCGTTTTAATTTGTTTCCTTGTCAATCAATCTTGTTGTCCAACAATGTTTCATAGCGGCCCTTCTATAGGTCAGTGACTAAGTGTACCTTTTGGCCAAAAGAAGAGGAACAATGCCGAAACGTCACACATGGTATGGCAGAACTTGCATCTTATTCCTTCTACACCCGATTATTACATATTTTATTTACTTAAACTACTAAAATGTCAAATCTTCAACATAGTGGCAACTTGAGGTAATTTATGTAAATATTAAACTTTATCTTCCATTCAAAATAAGAAAATAAATATATATATTTTTTATAACTTCCAAGGTAAAAAATTCCATTAAATTATTTTATATTCTCCTTTCATCATATACAACAATTATTGTTCAATAATCTTTTTCAGAAATGCTCCTGCGAAGAGTGTCCTTGATGTGGTGATAAAGATATTGGCAAATAGTGGTGTATCAAGTCGACTGAGTGATCCAGTAATAGCTAAAAATTTCTCATTATAGATTGATATTAATGGTATTAAATATGACATTAAAGAATTTTCCAGGTCTGAATGCTATAAACATTTGTAAAAGTA